CGCTGGGCGTGCTGCCGCTGATCAAGCGCCAGACGCTGCCTGTCGTGCACCCGCTCCACCCGGCCTTCTTCGCCAAACCGCACGACTGGGCGGCCGAGCTCAAGGTCCTGGCCTCTTTCTGCCGGACAAGCCCGCCCCGGCCCCGTTCCTCTCCTCCGACCTGCGCCTCGAGCCCGCCACCGACAAGGACAGCACCACCCCGTCGTTGCCAGGTGCGCGTGTGAAGTGTGCCGTGCATGCGGTGTGCGTGTGTATGCGTGTGCGGTGTGTGTGTGTGCGGCGTGTTGGGTCACTGTTAACAAGGAACGGGCGTGCAGCTGTGGAGTCGGCGACGTGGGAGAAGAAGGAAGACGAGATGTGCGCGAAGGAGGAGGAGCAGCGGCTGGAGCGGTTCCTCAAGTCCTCCGCCAGCACTGAGGTCGAGGGTGCCGTGCGGCCCATCTTCTTCGCCTGCGCCGGGCTGGTCGACAGCCAGTCCTCCGCTTGGGCGGTGCTCGACGTGGCGGCCCGACTGGCCGACAAGATGCGACAGCCACGTGCCGCCGCTGCCGCAGTTGTATCGCTGACCTCGTCGGGAGTGAGGAGGTGGCAGCCCTGCCCGGGTCCCTGGCCCGCCCGTGCTCCTCCCTCGCCCTCGACGCCGCCGCCGCCACGACTGCTTCGGACCTCGGTGACCACCACGACCAGCAGCAGCAGCCGGGCGACGACGACGACGACGAAGAGGTGGGGTGGGAAGAAGAAGAAGAAGCGGCGGCTGACAGAGTCAGGCGGGAGCGGTGGATGCTGTGGGCCGGGGACCTGGCGGCGGGAGCGGCGAGCGGGCTCGTGCTGTACTGGCTGCCGCAGGGCGATCGGAAGGGCCTCGCCCTCTATGGCCTCACGCGTAGCGGCGAGTTCCTCGCCCGCTTCCTACCTCAACGGCACCTCGACCACGCTCCTCGACTGCCACCTCATCAACTCGGGCTCCTGTCAGCGGCGCCAACGTGGTCTTCTCTGCGTTCGTCACAACAGCACGGGCTCCATCACTGTCACCGCGGCTCGCTGGTCCTCAACAGCGGCGGCAGCCACGTGTGCGGCTGCGGAAGCGCTCATCATGCCAGCA